TCCTGGTCGGCTCGCATGTATGTATGTATGTATGTATGTATGTATGTATGTATGTATGTATGTATGTATGTATGTATGTATGTATGTATGTATGTATGTATGTATGTATGTATGTATGTATGTATGTATGTATGACGTTGATTACACTGTGGGCTGAAAAGCCGGGGGCCCAGGGCCGAAGCACAGCGCGGGGGGCGGGTGCATACGGCTGGTTAGTCTCATGCACTCCGCCCCCGGGTCAGGCCGCACGGGAAACGACGGCCGGCACGCAACAGCGCTTGTTTGGCGCTCCAACTAGACGGGATCTATGCCCGTTGGTCTCCTAACATGTATGTATGTATGTATGTATGTATGATGACACGAAGAGCACAAACACGCAAAACGCGCCGCATTTCCGTACTTTACTTCATGACACCGCACAATAAAACACAACACATGAAACACACAGGTATAACACACACTCTCTCACACACACACACACACACACACAGACACACCTGCGCGTACGTCCACTTCACCCCGGTCGCCGGGTCTGCTTCCCAAAAGGTTTGACCCCAGCGGTTGGTGGGTTCGTGGTGCTTGCAAAGCCGGTAGGTGTTCATCCCCAGTACACCCAGCTGGGGGTACGTGTCGAATACCCGGATCATGTCCACGAGCCATTGCCCTTGGGGAGGCGGTACCTGATCATCCTGTGGTGGCAAGGGGGGGGGGAGGAGAGGACAGGAGGCCGAGGGAGAGGACGGCGCGGGCGTAATTTTGTTTAAATATGTGCAAGTTCTATGACTAAGGTCTTCTCTCGCCTTTCATGACCTCTTTGGCCTTCCCCTCCATCCCCGTCAGGCACACGCGTACACGCATACACATACACACACGCTATTTCCCTCCCCCAGCCCCTTACCCCATCACCAGCCCCGTGCCCGCTCTCTCCCCCTCCGCCCTTCCCATCGACGCCACCTCGCACCCCTCAGATGCGCACACATACGCACGCACACATACACACGCAAACATACGCACGCACACATCCACACGCCCATACACACACACACGCTTCTCCCTCCTCCCCTACCCATTCCCCCCCTCCCGTTCCCCACCTGCCACACGATCAGGTACTTCCCCCGGGCCAGTCGAGCCGCCCGGTTGTAGCCCCGCGCCTCGTGCAGGTTGGCGGAAAACACGGGTACGACAAAACCCGCCTGCCCCGCCCAGGCCGCGGCCTCGTCCGGGTTGTCGACGTTCACAACCAACTCGCACGGTACGGCAACCGATTCACATGAAGCGCGCATGTTGGCGGCGATACGGGTAACCACCTGGGGTCGTTTGAAGTAGTTGAGGATGAAGGACACGACAGGCCGGCCGGTGTACGCGTCGGGTCGATGACGGGCGGAGGAGCAAGCCGCGGTCAACGCCTTGACGACTTCAGGGCTGCGGTTTGACCGGGGGCGGGCGGGGGAGGAAAAACGGGGGAAAGAATTAGGCGGAGGAGGGGGTTTCGGAGCGGGCGGGCGGGGTTTCATAGTCGGTTTACGACAGGCAATTGTTGACAGCGCGGCACAAACATACCGGGGGAAGGGGAGGGGGGAAACGTAACCCGGGGTTTTGGGTGGGCGGGAAAATGAAAAAGTGAGGAAATGGTTCCAGTTGAAAACTTTGATCGTAAGGAAAGGATTGCCTGTGTGCGCTTCCTGTCGTACATGCAAATCATTATCAATAAGCTTGGGTGATGTCAGCATCAACACACCCACGCCGCCAAACAGCACAACGCGGTCGTCGTTGCGGCTGCGGTGTGTGGCTACAGCTGCGGTGGCAGTGACGATGGCCAACAATGTCTCCGAACGAGGCGGGAGAAAGGGGGAGATGATGTGCAAGACGTGAAAGAGGGAAGGGAAGGGTTTTGGGGCCCGGGGAAATACGTGGCATACACACATATACACACGCGCACGCGACCCAGATGAGATATCCAGGTCAACGGATAGGGCATCGGGAGTTTGAATTTAATTTTTTTACTATTATGGATTTGGTTTAGTCATCGGGCAACAGGCGGCTTTGACCTTGGTGCGCGGTGGTGTGTAACCCCCCTAGTGGTTGTGGTGTGCGGTGGATTGCGTATTGAAGAAAGAAATGGGGAAGGGTAATTACAAAGTCAAAATGCTGTCTTACGGTCAACGGTGAGGAGGCGAAAGGGATGAAGGCAAGGAGGGATGGCGCGGATGTCCGACGGAGGGTCGGCTGTATGGGGCGCTGGGATGCAAGATGTGGTTCTAGGGGACAAAGAACATGGACTTTGCGGGTTTGTGTTGCGGTTGTTATTGTTGTTGTTACCGTCAGAGCTAGACGGGCACATACTACTACGGCCGGGTAGCTAGGATGGCATCGCCCTGGATGATCGAAGCTTTGGTATGGGAAGATGTTATGCGTCAGAAAGGTTGTCTCCCGTACACTCCGCACCTCTCGCCCATGCGTGACGCGACGCCAGCGCTGTCCAGCATTTCCTGAAGCTTTGTGCTGTTATGGACCTTCCACTCCTCCAGCTGCGTTATGCTCGGAGCTGCCGCGGGTACTGATGATAGCAGCATGGCCCTCCCCAAGCGAAGATGGCCAAGGTACGATTCGATGGCTTGCAGGTTCTGAACCAAGTCCCTCAGCTCGTGTCGCTGCTCTGGTCGGAAATGCTTATACAATTTGTGACATGAATGTAAATAGGCGTGATCTGGTCCACCAGAGACGGGGATACAAGCAATTGTCAGAGCTAGTACTAATCCAACAAACAGCTGCTGGGTTGAAAGGATTAAACGGCCCATTGGACGATTGGAAGGCCGAGACCGGCCCTATATGCGCGTGGCAGCTTTAAACGAGGTTCACAACATCCTGAAGGTTAATGCCTTTATCCCAATGTTTTGTAAAGCAAAACTGTCTAAATCCTATTATTTTACACTTTGTTATAATTGGACCCAGCTGTGGGAGCTTCCTAATGAAAACTGAAAAACCGGACACTCTTGGATACGGCCCCTTCTACTGCAGACGCGGTAATCGATGTACTGGTTATGCAGAGGTCAATAATAGATATCTTGTTTGAACTTGTACAAAATTTGTCTATGCATTAAGCAGCAGTCATTATGCAGCAACAGTGTGCCGGACGCCCCGCCACGGCGCCGACACACCTTCCCCGAGCCAGACGTTCAGTTTTGGTGGGAAGCAAACTAGTATGTAGCTTCTGGCGCGCTGCAGTAGCTCCGACCCCGACAGCCGCCCAATCACGTACAGTGGAACCACTCCGGCGGAACCTCACCCGGCGACAAGCATTTAGCGGGGATAGGTCCGAAGGTGCCAAGAACAAGGATGCGCAGGAAGGTGCTGCACGACCGACAGGCGAACGCGAGCGCAGCATGCTGGTCAATGAAGAGGTCGTCTACTTCATCTTCCAGGTAATCTAACCAGCACGCCACGGGAGAAGGCCATGCAGGAAATACAAGGATGCACTGCTCGCACGTGCGACTGCGGTTCCGCTGTTTTTCATGGCTATGGTCTGTACGGGCGCAAGAAGCGAAGGAAGGTCAGCCATATTATTAGACTTCAGGTATAGCTGGTTCGGCCGTCTGTTCCTATTCCCCTCACCAAACGAGGGAAGCTGCGAGTGTCTCCATGAAATTTTTTCTTGCAGCCATGGAACGAGCAGAGCATCTCACCAACCACAACCGTAGATTTTAGCTGCTCGCCCGCGGTGTCGAAAGACAGGCCACATCTCTCTCTCTCCTTCCCTCCAACACCCACACAAACTCCTGGCGGCACTGCGTTTACGCCTCCGACCGCCCGTTACAACCGGCTCTGGAACCTGGGACACACACACACACACACACACACATACACGCGCGCGCGCGCGCGGTCAAATCAAAAGCCTTATGACGCCCCTTGCAAATTACGTTTTTGTTCATATAAATGTTTTCCCTGTCGGGTGCTTCTCCGCCACCTCCCTCTTTCCCTCTCTCCCCCGTTGATCTGACCTCTCCTCAACCCCTTCCCTCCCGCCAGCTAATACTTGTAGCCTTGTAGCCCCAGACCCTGAATGGGTGCGAAGTGAAGGGGCCACGGCGGGAGTGGGAGGTGGGGTGTGTTGGAAAACGAGGTATCAAGTCGCACAGAACCCGAACAGAAGCGATTAATGTAAAGGCCATCTGGGTCAGCGCACCGCAACTGATGTGGGTCACACCGCCCCACCAGCTGTCGGGACCTGGCCCTCAGAAGAAGCAGATGAGGAGGTGACGCGAAGGGATGAGGTGACGCAGCAGGCCGTCGGAGGTGACACACATCCCCTTTTGCGCGCTGACCCAGATCAATCCGACGTGACCCAGATCGAAAAACATCGTAATATCATTTTAAGACGAAAAACATCGCAACATCATTTTAAGAGTCACGGAGTACAGTGTAACACCAAATGTTGTACAACATGCAATACACACACAAGTAACAAAGGGTGTGATTGTGTTGTGACACAAGGATAAATCAAATGATGTATTTAATGGACTGGGGGGAAGGGATTCACGGCGTAGCAAACACACGGTGCACACTCACCCATGTCATCCCGTCGCACAATACGGCATAGATGGCGTACAAGTAGGCAGTACAGATGTACGGCAACACGGCAGACTGCCAAGTATAGAAGCCAAAACGGTATTGCAGTCCATACAGAACCAAATTACCGGATCGAGGGCGCAGTGAACAGGGTCTCTGTCTATGTACGTGTGCGTGTCTATGTCTGTCAGTTTGTGCGTCTGTCTGTCTGTGTGTACGGAACTGCGAATAAGAAATCAGGGCGTCCGGCAACCCACTCCATCGGTAGTTGGTGGTTGGATCCTTGGGCGTCGACAGTTATTCGTTTGATTTTCTGTATGTAATTACAGTTGCACCACTCACTCGTACACACACATGCACACATTTCCTCACCCCCTTCCCTTCGCACACGTCGGCCAGCTGGATTTGGATACGCAGCTGCAGCGGTGCCTCAATTACGAGGCGTACGAGGCGGCGCAGGAAGTGCGGAAGAAGCGGCAGAGGGTGGGTGGGTGTTCGTGTGCTCGGGGGTTTGACGTGTGGGTTTAGGGTTGTGGTGCGGCAGTGTTGTGTGTGTGTGTGTGTGTGTGGATTGTGTTTCGTCGTGGAGCAATGCGGGGCGTCAGCGGCTGCGAGTGGGCGACATTGGGCGCGGGGTTGCGAGGAAGCCTGGACGGGGTTACGGGTGTATGTATGTATGTATTGTGTATGTAGCATGTGTGCATGTGTGGAGGAGGTTGCACTTCAGATGGGTTTGCACAGCGGGGTTGCTTCACTCGTGCAACCAACTGATAACCGCTCATGCAACCAACATGTGGATTTTAAAATGCTTTTATTTGTGTTGATGTCGGCCTTCATGAACGAATGTATGTACGGACGGCCGGATGAATGCACTGTCGTTCCACGTTCAGGTAGACGAGGCTGTACAGCAAATGCGGGAGCGTAAGGCCCGCAATACGGGCATGCCTGCAGCCAGTACGAAGCTGGGGGCGGCGGATTTCGCGACGGAGGGGCTCAGGCTTCGGAGCGAGATGCAGCGGGCCGTGGAAGCGGAGAAGTGAGTGAGAAGGGGCGGCGCGTACGTATGATATGTTCAACCACATGCAGCATTTACATATATACACATATGGTTTTTTTATATTTTCATAAACTTACATCAAGGCACGGCAAATATGTATGTATCCAGTGCACTGGGAGGCGATATAAGGCCCATGAAGAGGAGGCGTCCGCGTCCCTCAGAGCCCTCAGGCCGTCACCTCCCAGATGGCGATGGCTGTCCGGGGCCGCAAGCTTGAGGGAAAAGGGGTTATTACTCTTCCTATCCTCCTGAGTGTATGTATGTACGTATATACGTGAGTAATGTATGTATGTATTTATGTGTATTTCCCCTCATGTCGCAGCTATGCGGACGCGGCCAAGTACCGGGACCTGCTGCGGGAGCTGGAGACGCAAGTGAAGAAGGCGGCGGCACTCGCCGCGGAGTGGGACACCACCACGTCTTCTTCGGGTGGGCTGGTTTGTATATGTATGTATGTATGTATGATGTGTGAAACAGGGGGGTGTATCTTCGCCCGTGGCAGCTACCCTGCGAAACCCTGCCTTCCCCGGTATTTCGGGGCACCCTCATCCAGTCACCCTAGTCAACTTCTCAGTGGATCGCTCAGGTTCCGCACCCACCACCAGCATCCAACGGAATCTGCCGGGTCGACAGCGGCCCAACTCCGTTCCTGGTCGGCTCGCAGGTTAACTTTATCCCAGGTCACCACCGTCCATCAACTAGGGGCGCAATGCCTTCCACCATCGGAAGGACTTTGACCCTAACGGGTATCGATCCCGGGATCTCCCGGGGGCAATGGTCGCGCCTTACCAGTGGTGCCAAACCCTCTATTATATGTATGTATGCGTGTGTGTGTTTGGGGGGAGGAGAGGGTTTCGGTGGGTTTGGGGAGGGGCTTAGTGGGTGGGCGGTTTAGTGGCTGGGGAGGGGGCTGCCGGTCCATCCATTTTTGATACTTTCTTCCCCAACCCCAACCTTGTCCCAAACCTATGAAATGAATAAATAAACAGTGCAACCTTTTGTGTACACCTAGTTTAATAATATATACATATGCATGCTTTGAAGGAAATCAATCCCAACCAATCGCAACCGACCCATTCCGCCCTTAGGTGGTCCCAAACTACGGTTGGGTCAGAGGGTACTTCATCGGCAGCTCGGCTACCGGGGTGTGGTAGTGGGGTGGGACAGCCAGTGCTGCGAGAGCGAGGACTGGATCGCGCAGTCCAAGGCGGAATCACTACAGGGAGGGACACGGCAGGTGTTTTACCATGTGGGTTACAGGGGGGAGGGGGGAACGGGGTGGGAGAAACGGTGCGGGGATAGAGTTAGATGCGGGTGGGTTGGGGGGAGAGGTGCCGTGGGGGCCCGGGAGAGAGGGGGGGAGGTGTGTTTTGTATGTGCCGTGTCCGTGCCGTGGGGCAGCTGTGGGTTTTTCCCTCTCTCGGAGCTCATGGGCCCCTCCCTCTTCGGGCCCGTCCCTCTGGGGACTGATTCCCCGTTGCATCCCTGGGGGAGCCCGGGGCAGCCCCTCCGTCATTTCCGTTGTCAAGTGCCGTTATCATTGTGATTATTGTGGCCCGCTTCGGTCCGCTGTCCGCTATCACGTTCCTCTTCTCTTCTTAATTTGACTCTCTCTCTCTCTCTCTGTGTGTGTGGGGGGGGGGGGACGCAGCTGCTGGTGGACGCACGTGACTGGGAGTACGATGCGCATCTGCCGCCGGTGGCGTACGTGGCGGAAGGTACGGCAGAGCGTTTTTGTTTCGGGTTTTGTACCGTACATAACGCTGCCGTTCGGCAGCATGCGCGCACCTGTGGTCTGTGTGTATACGCTCGCTAGGGTATCTCAGCAGGACGCAGGCACAGTTGTACGGTTCAAATCTGCCGGAGCTTCGTATGTCATTGCCTGCATTCTCGAAACTTCTTTGTGGTTGCTTGTGTGTAGTTGTGTGCGCGTCTATGTGAATGGTTATAAAGCGGAGCTTTGATGATCACTGAAACACATTCTATGTGGAGTAATGTAGCTGTTCCGATATTGTGTTCGTTGGCTGGTGTGTATGTATGTGTGTGTGTATTTATTTGCGTCCTGATGTTTGCTGCTATTGCATTTGAGCTCTGCCCACTGTCCTTCCAGCTTGCAAACCAGCTTACTTACTTCCCCCCCTCTCCGTGCTCCTGTATTTGTGGGTTTTCCCCTTCGTTTAGTTACGTCTCGAGCTGGTATGTTTTCGTGCGTACATGTTCAGAACGCAATGTATGCATGTATGTATGTGTATGCTGTCCCTCCGCTCCCGGCCCCAGAGTTGCTGACGTGGCCGGAGATGGAGTCGGAGGGGGGTAAGAGCTGGGTGGAGGTGTACGGCAACGACCCGCTACAGCATCCGTACTTGTACATCTTGTTCCTCGGCCTGGACGGCCGAGGGGACTACGTGCCTTGTCGGCAGTTGCGGGACAAGTACAGCGTGCAGAGGAGGGATGTGTACCGGCCTGGGGAGGATTCAAGTAGCAGTGGTGGTGGTGGCGGAGATGGCGGAAATGGGGGCGACGGTGGGGCCAGCGTCAGCACGGCATAGCAGTAGCAATGGCAGAAGCAGCACAAGTAGTTTTCAAAACGACAAAAAGAAGAACAAGAACAACAATAAAACAAGATTACAAGAGGAAAATATCAACAAGAAAAACAACAACAACAACAACAACAGCAACAGGAGGAGGACGTAGAGGAGAGGTGCGGCAGCAGTTTATAGCTGCGACTGAAGATATCTGCCCGATACATCTGAGGCGCAGCCGCTTTGTCCCGTTGTATTGTATGTTGTTGCATGTTCGTCGGTTTGTTTGTCTATCTGTCCGCTGTCGCATGTCTGAATTCGGCAAGGGTGGTGCGGTTATGATGGGAGCTGGCTTTGCGAATTTTTTGTCGTCAGATCTTGTATGCTAGTTTCAAAAAACCTGTCTGTGTCATCTGCACAATAGCTTTTGCCTGTATGCTGACTTCGCAACGGGGCCCGTCGTACATCATATGTTTCAATTAGCTTTCGTTGTCCTTGCGCATTTGTATCTATGTCGTACATTTCTTGAACCGTGTCGCATAGACACCTTATGCATACAGAGTTAAAATTTCGTGCCCCCACGAAGTTCGTTATGTCACAGGGAAGGGGGGTTAAGGTAGCAGCAGGATGAGAGCCGAAAATGGTGTGGGGCCCTCTCGGGAAGCTATTCAGAAATATTCAGTTGTGTGTGCATTGGAGGTGTGACGATGCTGCATATGTGTTTGTGTGTATGTGTGATTATTTTGCCTCATGTATAGATCCTCCCCCATTAAAGCATCTCACATGTGTCCGTGCGCGTGTACGACAAGAAGTGCGCCTCTTCGGCTTGCTGCTGATACCATGATGCGTAGCTTGGCGCTGCGGTTGTGTACTGTGAGCTGAGCTGAGCATCTCCTAGTGTACAGCAGCTTGGACAGCAGGGGAAAGCAGCCATATGGTCCAATACTAACGAGATGTGAAATAAGAGGTTTAAGAAGAGAGTGCGGTGTCGTGGGCATCCCAGAGCATGAATAGCATTAAATCGGATCATGACCTTTTTCTTCATAACCTTGTCCTCCACCGCATACCGCCAGCGCAAAAGGACGATGAGATGGCGCAACAACACCCAAGGACTGCAACGACCACTCATGGACCACTGACCAACCAACAGATGCAAGTCTCCGCAAACATCCCAACAACAAATCCCGGCAGACAGAGTTTGTCATTCTTTCCGAACACGTCCTCACACAAAAATTGCACAGCGTCTAGAGCTCTTAACTAGAAATGTCTGCATATATCGTTCACGCAAAGCCGAGCGGGATTCCACCAAGCCGAGTACACAGCTGTGCCGCGAATCCTCGTGTCCTTCTGGGAGGGCTTTGGCACTTCTTATCTTTGGACGAGCAGCTCTCTGGAGCTACGTCTCCGCACTTCAGCAGCAGACAAACAACAGGAGGAGCTTTCCTGCTCAATAAGACTCACAGCATCGAGTGCGGCTCCTTGACTTCTACTGTCGACGCAATCCACACCTTCTAAGCACATGTATTGTAACATGTATCCAACCCCACATCAACACCTCAATGCAATGCCGTCATCCATCCATTCCTTATCCGGAGGAAATGTTATCCGTTCAACTCTCTACAGTCCTTTACAGTACCCTCCCAAAAAAACGCGACAACCGTGCTCTTCCCCCCTCTCACACACCCAGGCTTGCACACACGGACAAAGCCTCCAACAGGACAACCACTTCTCATCCGCCATTATTGTCTGTTTAGCCAATAATAGCAAATCAACAAGAGCAACAACTGGCCAAATTTCCACTAGCCATGCACACAAAAACGGCCATTCAACGTTATTCACTCAATCAGCACACGGGAACGGTAAATCACATCACGTCAACACCGCGCCCCTAGAACACCAGCAGGTTGGTGCGGGGCTTAACGTCCACAGGACCTTGTCGTACGAATACAAATGATTTCAACCAATAAACAAGGTCCAAGATCCAAACACTTAAATAGGGGTATGTGGGTACGCCGCAACCGTCTCATACAGTCTCCTACGGTGCCGGACGTCGACTGACTGACGGGCCGTCATGGTAAGGCCGTCATAGGAGGTCGGTGCCGCGCGTGAACAACAATGAATTTGCCAGGGGGGTAGCAGGGGCCCGGCAGGGGGGGAAGCCCCGTCCAACATTCATGAACAAAACCCCAACACACCGTCGCTAAGTGAGGGCACAGCGGTGATCGCTCCAGCTCCAAACTCCAAGCCCCCTCTCGACAAACTCGCAACATGCCGCGGCGCTGTCGCAAGAGCGCCAAACCCCTTCCCCCACACCCCCACCACAGTGCCGCGGGCGCCGGCACTTTTTGTTTCCTCGGCTTTCCTCGGCTTTGCACAACACGATTGCCACTCAAACACGGCGCTCGGGCTGCCCCAGCTCGCCTCAAGTCCGTCATCTCGGCGCTACTCAGACCTTTCCCAGGCCGTACACATGAGGCGGCGGGATCATCAGTAATTACTCCAGGCCGGGCCCCCGGCTCCCGAACAAACAAACACCAAAAAGGCCAAAGCCCGACGTGTGTGTGTGAAGCGTCGTCAGGGCCACATCCGAACCCCCCAAGAAGAAGGACAATATGAACACGCGGGGAGCTGGAAATGACTGACCTGTCCCTCACTTCACTTCACTGCGCTGCACCTCACAGGGGGGATGCAGGCCCCAAAGGGTGCCGCAGCAGTGGGGTGCGCAAAGTCCCTTTTCGGGGGAGTCCCGGGCCAGATGTGGGGCGTTTGGGCTTGGGGGGAGATAGGCTTTGGGGGGAGATAGGCTTTCCCAGCGCCGGTTCCAGCATTGCGCGCATGAAACCCAATAAAGCCCCCTCACCCCGAGATGTGAGGACAGGCCCCCTCCCACACGCCCACCCTGACACCTCCTGCAGCACCTCCATTACTCAACCTATCCTTAACTCCTCTCAACACCTACCCCCCCCCCGTACCCTTACACAGCAGGCAAAACAAAAACATGAATTGAACGGACATAAATACGCGCAAACACAATCACCCCTCATCTTTCCTCTCCCCCCTCCCCCCCTCATCTTTCCTCTCCTCCCTCCCTCTCGTCCTCTGTTTATATCTGTTTACATCTGTTTCATCTGTCGCATGTGTGTGTGTCACGCGCATGCGCTGCACTCTCGCGACGTGGTATCCTCACAGCACATCTCCTGCAGTACCGGGGACAGGGGATGTGAAAGGGGCCTTATGGCCCCCCATATGAAAAGACCACCTGGGGGCCGCACCTTCAGGTCAGGGGTGAGTGAGCGCGTGGCGCACCCCGGCGCCATTACTCCAATCTCCCCGCCCCCAAACACATACACATAGACATACACGCATACACACACACACACACTCTCTCTCTCTTATAGGTTCGGCAGGTCACCCCCCTGCCAGCTCCTCCAACACCGCATCCGAGCACAGAGCGTGTAGCACCGCCACCAGCTGGGCCAACCCCACTGCCCCCGTGTTGGAGTAATGCACACCATCCCAGGTGGTGTCGTGCAATATTCGACTCAAGCTCCAAGTGTCAATGACGGGAATGGCCTCAAGCGGCGGCGGGGCCGGTGGCAGCGATCCAGCTGCTGCAGCAGCGCCGGCGGCGTTGGGTTGTACGAGTGCCTCATCATCATCATCCTCCGCCGCCGCCGCCGCCGCAGCCGCCAACGGGATCTCGTCACCAAGAAGCATCAGCAGCCGCCGCCGGTTGTGTTGCGACGGAAACACGTGCTTCAGCCACCCAAGCAGTATCCCTAGGGATGATGAGGAGGAGGAGGAGGAGGGGGACGACGATGATGATGACGGCAGCGGTGGGCGCCGCGGAGGTGAGGTCCTCCTGCTGCTGCTGCTGCTGCTCGTAGTGCTGGTGTTGCTACTTCGGCCTCTCCTGGA